CATAGAATACGAGCTGGATGGATGAAGTGTAAGAGCGCATCCGGCGTGTTGTGTGACCGTCGTAGGCCACTGAAGCTCAATGGAAAATTTTATAGGACGGCAATAAGGCCAGCGATGTTGTATGGCACAGAATGTTGGGCGGTGAAGCATCAACACGTACACAAAATGGGTGTAGCGGAGATGAGGATGCTTCGTGGGATGTGTGGGCACACGAGAAAGGATAAGATTGGGAATGAGGATATCCGAGGTAAAGTAGGAGTAGCCGAAATTGTAGGAAAGATGAGAGAAAATCGGCTCCGGTGATTTGGACATGTGCAAAGAAGGCCGACTGACGCTCCGGTTCGAAGATGTGACTACGGGACAGAGGTTCAGGGCCGAAGGGGTAGAGGAAGACCTAGGAAAACTTTGGAAGAGACTCTAAGAAAAGACTTAGAGTACTTGGATCTAACGGAGGACATGACACAAAACCGAGCGCAATGGCGTTCTAGGATTCATATAGCCGACCCCACTTAGTGGGAAAAGGCTTTGTTGTTGTTGTTGTTGTTGTATTGTTTCCAAGGTGTGTCAAATTTGCACTGCATTTCATTTCAATTCCGTTTTCGATAAACACAGAGACGATTTACTAAGAACATGGAACCTACTGGAGATCGGTTTGCTAGATCCATTAAACTGCTTAAACACCCAAATCAAACCCAATAAACAGGTTTAGTACTTCGCAAAAATCAACCACAATCACAATTTGGGACGGTAAAAAACCCCAAATTGTAACCTCTGTAAAAGTGGGCATTCCCAATTTTAGCATATTTCAACCAATTAAAAGTATCAGTACATAGAATAGCTCTGCAAACACAAGTAACCCAATAAAATTATAAATTACAAACCCTAATTTAAATCCAAAATAAAATTCCCCAACTTAAAACCCCTAAATTAAACCCCTAAATGAAATATTATTTTCAAAATAAATTCCAATAGACACCTTGTAGAAATTATAGCAAGAAGAAGAAGAAGAAGAAGATGAGCAAGTTACCGACTGAAACAGTGATTACAGAAGCGAGAGGCAAAAGGAAGAGCTTGTTGTTAGTCGGGTCGGTCGGGCTTCATACTTTGCTTTTGTCCCCTTGGCCCCGGCACTATTCACTTCAGTTTTTTATGTCCCTTGATTTGCTTTGAAAAGGTTTAAATTTTTTTATTTTATTACAAGCGATATTATTATTATAAGCTGGATTAAAGAGAGGTGGAGTTTCTGATAAAAAGAAGTGGGTTAAAGAAGACGTCCACCTAAACAATTCATCACTTAATTAATTCAATCTTAAGATTTTTTTCTATTCTCGTGGGGGAAGGCAGGATTGACACATCTACAATTGAGAGTATGCTTGTACAAGTGGGTTACCCAGAACTAGTAGCCATTTATCTACCGAGAGGATCCTCGTCGGATCTTCTTTGTGAGGATCTCCGACGAGGATCCTGGGAATTCTCTAATCACATTCGTTCACTGTACATCATGCGATCATAAATCATTATAAATTTTTTTATTTAAAATTGAATATAAACAGTATATTACAAAAACTGACTGCATGATGTACGATGAACGAATGTGATTGCAGGATCCTGAGATCCTCTCTCATTTATCTAGCCCTTCATCTTTACAATCTATATCTATCTTCCTCATTTAGCTTTGGTTCTTCATTTGGTGTTCTTGTCTGAGCTCGTCTCAATCAACATACTCAAGAGCTCGTCTCAAATCTGAATTTTATGCCCCTTTTTTACTCAAGTGTCGTCTTATGTCGCAAGTCTCCTATCATCCTCATCCGCTACTTAACCCATCAAGTGTCTCTCTTCAATGGAATTTTGGTGTTGTGTTTTTTTTAAGTGATTTTAGCACTGTTTAATAGGATTACGAAAAAGCTCCTGGCAGTGGTGGCATTGCATGGCGGCGCGATTGACTTGGTGAAGGTTGTTGTCTTCCTCCAATGCTTTTTGTTGTTATGGGCTGACTCATTTTGAGCCTATCTATTGCTTTTTTTTTCTTGTATCTGGCCTTGTATTTGAGTTGTTTTGGAGTGTCTTTTAAGCTATTTTTATTTTATACTAGTCTTTTTATTTAACGAAGTAATTTAGCTTGACCAAAAAATCTATCAAAATATATTGTTTCTTTACAGAAAGTTCTCTATTGTTGATATTAAAATTTTCTTTACCTTGAGAGAAGAAATGTCTTGTTATTCTAATTCAATATTGAATCAATGTCAACCAGGTTATAGTTGACCAATTTATTATAGTTGTACAAAATCACTTTACGTCAAAGTCGACCATATTAGTATGCCTTTAAAAAACAGCATTTCTAGGGCTTAAAGAGCATCTTCCATGAGCCTCCATCTCCATGGGAGAATACTTGTTTGACCAGGACTAATATATTTAATTAATTATTTCTTTTATTCATGGAAGGGGTGACAAAGGGAAAGGGATCATTTCCAGATCCCCTCCTCCTAATCCATTAAATTCGGTGATCCAGGACATTGAAATTTGATCAAACGGTTAAAGTTATTATAACTTTTAAAGTGGGCGCCTGTTTGTAGTCGTTGGATCAAATTTCAATGGTCCGGATTCCTGAACTTGGTGGATTATGAGAAAGGGATCCGGAGGATCCCTTTCCGTGGCAAAGAATCAAGCTCTTCGCACGTGGAGTAGCCGTGGCGCTAAAGTGTTCTTAACAATATTAAAGCTGCAACCATTTAGTATAACGGTCTAATAATATTCATCTTCACTTAAGTGAGATGTCTTAAGTTCAATTCTCGTAAAAAACGAATTTGAACCACATTGGTTCTTAACAGTACTAGAGCTGCAGTGCTCCAAACTCTAAGCCCGTCAAGTGGCATTTCTGGCCAAAAGAAATCGTTTTATTTGTTAGCTTTGTAATGTGTTTATTAATACATAAAATTGAAAAGGTATGAGTTGTACCTTTGGAATTCATATACCTAAAATTCATGAATTAGTACAATAAGAGGGGATCTAACTCCCTTTCTTTACTTCCCCAATTTTTAAGTTATCTGATTCATTCATTCTCCTAAATTCTGTTAAGTCAACATGCCCAAATTTAGAGACCCAGTAAAAACTTTTGAAGTCATTGAAATAAATCAAAATTGATCTCTTTGGTCAGTTTAACAAACTGTAGAGCTCCTCAATAGCTGGTGTTCAAATGCTTATATTGTCTAACTGTAAATTCGTACAACAAATTAACTTGAGTGAGTAAAAAACTTCTAGTGGAACGATTAATTCCTAATATTTAGGAATAAAAATGAGAGGAAGATTGTAAAGATGAAGAAACAAAAGAATGAAGCTAATTGTTTGAATTGCTTTTGTTTTCAAATACAACTGTGAATTGCTTGCTTAACTCATAAAAGAACTCACGTACATATACAAGCGTGGCTTCCAAAAAATAAAAGACTAAAATGGCATAGAAAATCCTTACGTACTTCAGCCATCAACTTTGCATGCTGAAGACCAATGACAATATTTATCATTAATGATTATTCAAAAATTCTTCTGGATCATCGAACAAGAATCAACTTGTCCAACAATTTAAATTAACCGTTGGACAATGCAAGGATTTCATGTTAGCTACCAAGAGAACCATTCTCCTAGCATATCATAATATAATGCAAATAATTTTTTTATGTCGATTCATAGTCTAACAAAAGAACATTTTCATACATATAAACACCAATTAAATTTCATATAGTTTACAAAATCACTAATTCAATATTAAATAAATGGCAACCCAACCGGATTTTTGTGGTCTTACATTAGGTATAGATTGCCTTAGGGCAGAATATAGTTGTACGAAATCACTTTACGTTACCAAGTCAATATACCTTGCAAAACAAGAATTTCGATCTAGGGCTCAAAGCATATTTTATGAGTCTCCATTAGAATAGTTGCTTGAAGTACTATATATTTTTCTTTATTTATTTCTTGGAAGGGGAGGCAATAATCAAGCTCTCCGAACATGGGGTAGCCGGCGGTGGCGGTAAAGTGTTCTAACAGTAATGGAGCTGAAGTGTTTTAATATTTGTGTTTTCATACCAATCTAAAACGTCTATATTTTTTTATCGTTAATTTTTCTTTTTTTATCGTTAACATGCTTTTATAAATTTAGTTTTACCACATTTATTAATCACATTGATTGATCTCTTATAAAAATGAGCCTATTTTTTATATATATTTTTCTAAGAACTCATTTATGTAAGTCGATCCAAACATGTAACAAAAAATGAAACTTTATATGACAACTTTTACATGAAATTGCAATACTTTCTCTGGAGTCATGCAATTTCATGTCCCCTATATAAAAAAGGATAATGCTAGAAAGACCAATTTTTAAACCAAATAATATGTCACTAATAGGAAATAAATACGTTAATCAACACTTAACTAATAATCTAATCATCAACATCTACATCATTTAGTTTACAAAATTTAATTTAGAAATTTGGTCTCCCTAGATAAACTAAGTTAATGTTCTATGCAAAGACACCCATAAATTTTGAAACAATCGAGATAATTTTTTACTTTTATGCACATCAAGTTTATTTCCCTGATCTAGATAAACTTCTTGTATTTTCATATGAACTCGTTTATGCATGCAAAATGGATCCAAATATATATGCTACATGAACAATAAAGTGTGGTTAGCAATCATTAGTAAGTTTGATCAAACTAGTGTCGCTTGCCAAGGTGAAGAATAATTGTAATTGCAAAATTGCAATGTGCAGCTATGCAAAATACACAAAATATTGCCAAAAGTCGTTTGACAAAGTTAAAGAAATATCTAGTCAATCCCCCCATCAAATATTTGAAGCAATCACAATGCTTAAGGCTATCAAAAGGGGTTTTTTTTTTTTTTTTTTTTTTATATATATTTTTTATTATTGGAAAATTTTGAATACATGCAGAAGCAATAAGCCGAATCTCAAGGCTAGGGTTCCCTCATCACTCCCTTATATAATCTCTTGTTGTTCCCATTCTTTCTCATCAATCCTTCAGCTCATAACACAAAGTAAAATTCAACAGAAGGAGAAGAGAAACATATATAAATTACGGTAGCCAAAAATGGCTAGGATTACAATGTCGCATATTTTGGTGGCTCTTTTCGTCATCCTTGTTTCAATGGAAGCCGCCTTCGTTATGGGGCAAGGCAAGGGGAACGGGAACGGGAACGGGAGCGGAAATGGGAACGGGAACGGGAGCGGAAATGGGAACGGCAACGGCAATGGTAATGGCAATGGAAATGGCAACGGCGACGGAAATGGCAACGGCAGCGGAAATGGCAATGGGAACGGAAACGGCAATGGGAACGGGAGCGGAAATGGGAACGGCAACGGCAATGGTAATGGCAATAGCAATGGAAATGGCAATGGCAATGGCAACGGGAATGGGAATGGAAACGGCAATGGTAATGAAGCCGATGAGGCTGCTGTTTCCAATTATGACGTGTTGACACCAGTGGGATCCGGGCAGGAGCGAGGGTTCTGTAAAGCAAAGGGGGCTTGCTATTACAAGACTCTTACGTGCCCATCTGAATGCCCTCAGAGAAAGCCGAAGAAGAACAAGAAGAACAAGGGTTGTTTCATTAACTGCGGTAGCAAGTGTGAAGCTACTTGCAAGTGTAAATCATTTCACCCTTTTTTTATTCTTTCAATTAACTAGATAACTAACAAAAAGAACTTAATAAGTTGATCAAATTGTTGAAACTTTTACTAATAACTAGATCTTCTTTTCTTTCGTGCAGTTAGGAAAGCCAAGTGTGATGGTTATGGCTCTCTGTGCTACGATCCCAGGTTTGTTGGCGGTGACGGTGTGATGTTCTACTTCCATGGAGCCAAGGGCGGAAACTTTGCCATTGTTTCAGACACCAACCTCCAAATCAACGCACACTTCATCGGGACTCGACCAACAGGAAGGACCCGCGATTTCACATGGATTCAGGCTTTCGCAGTGATGTTTGACTCTCACACCCTTGTCATCGCAGCAAAGAGGGTATCAAAGTGGGATGACAAAGTTGATGCTCTCATGGTAAAGTGGGATGACAAAGTTGTGACCATCCCCACTGATGGAGACGCCGAATGGAGGACTAACGGTGAAGATAGAGAGGTAATCGTCGAAAGAACTGATGAAACCAACTACGTTAGGGTTACAGTGGCCGGTCTCGTGGAAATGGACATTAGGGTTAGACCTATTGGAGAAGAGGAAAACAAGGTCCATAACTACCAAGTACCAGCTGATGACACATTTGCTCACTTGGAGACACAGTTCAGATTTACCAATTTATCCGATCTTGTGGAGGGAGTTTTGGGCAAGACTTACCGCCCAGGTTACGTTAGCCCGGTCAAAATCGGAGTCCCGATGCCGATGGTTGGTGGGGAGGACAAGTACAAAACTTCATCCCTCTTTTGTCCTCTCTGCAAGGTTTGCAGGTTCCAGAAACAGCCTGAGCTTGCAGCTGCTGGAGGAATTGCTCAGTACTGAATGATTATAATTTTTTATTTAAATATATTTAGGGGTGGACAAAACACATCGGCTACCAATAAAATGATTTATAGTTTTAACAATATATCATGAATATTGTTACAATATATTTATAGACTGTAACTAATAATGATATCAATAAAATGTGACAATGTTAACAAATATATAATAAATATTTATACTTATTATAAATAGATCAATCAAGTTTGTGGTACATTAGTGCACCTAAAACCGAACAAAAATTACAAATTGATGTCATTACATTACAGTTGGAAGCCCCTTTATTAAATTTTTGATATTTAAGATACATCAACTTGACTTTAGACCATATATGCATTGCAGTTTTTGTTCTGAAAATCTACGGAATCATATTTGCATGGTAGTTTTTAATTATTTTATTATAGTCGAATTAGTCATATCAAATACTCTAATTAAATTAAAGTTTAAGACTAGTGCTCTTATTTTCTCTTAAAATTACAAGCCTCACAAAACATTATATAACATGTTACGCCATTTTATTTTAAGAATCTCAACGGTAGGAGAAAAACATTATTAATTAAGTAAACTAATATAATGCATCTTAAAGAAAATTAGATGAGTTTAGAGTTTAGGGGCTTAAACCTGACCGCGTAAATCACTATTTTCTAGAATAATGCATCTTAAAGAAAATTAAGTGGCACTTCAAAGTTCAAACTACTCAAAGCAATCAACAAATATCGCAAATGTAGTCAATCTATGAGTTTAGGGTTCAGAATAAATTTAGCCAATCGCAATTTTACATGGGTTTAATTCCATTCATCATCACCCATCAATGATACAATCTAGGAAATTCTTTTTCATTTGTAAGTAAGATCAAGTTAAATTCACATGAATGGCGACAATGTATTATATTTGCATGGAGTTCAATACTTAGTAGTTGACTCATTTTGTGACCTAACTCAATTCTTCTTCCCTCCCCCTTAGAGTAGATCGAGTATACCACTCCTGTTTAAATGTTTAGAATAGAATATATTTGTATAAAACGTTTCATTCATCATTGATTCATTCTTCGTGTGTAATATTATCAGTCAACCAGGTTGCAGTTGAGCTTAATTTAGTCATGTCATCTCACATTAGGTATTGACCAATATATGGAGTATAATTGTACAAAATCACTTTATGTAAAAGTACACCCAAATTCTCAACAAACAAAAAAAGGTCAACCAAATTAGAAACAAGCATTTCAGGGCTCAATGAGCATCTTTTATGAGCCTCCATGGAAGAATAGTGTTTGAGTCTTTACACACATATATATCCCACTAAGGCAGCCGAAAGAAATGCTAATGTGAACTGAAAAAAGAAGAAATGCTAATGCTCTATGCAAAATTAATGCATGCACCATTAAAATTTGAATTGAAGCAATCGAGAATTAAATAAAAGTTCTTACAGTTGAAAGTTTGGATTTTCTTTTTAAAAGTTTAAGTTTATTTCTCTTATTTAAATAATATAAATATAAATCACTGTAATTTTTATCGTGAACTCGATCCGATAACAACTCGATTTGATAACAAATTGGCCAATAACTTGTTGTTTTTGTGTCGTTTTGTATCAGGTTAACGGATTGTATAATAAATTGCCGGGCATAATGAATAGACTTAGCAAACGGGTGGTATTTGTCGTGTTTATGTCTTTTTTGTGTCATACCCATTAACTTAACAGATTGTGTCGTGACTCATGTCAGACTCAATATCTTAACATGTGACTTGATAACGATCCTATCTGTTACTGAGTTGACGTAAAACATTTTATTTTTATGTCGTTTCGTACCAAGTTAACAGATCATGCAATAAATTATCAAGCCTACAATATAGTACATACACAACACAAATAACAATCACTTTACGTTAAAGTCCACTAAATTATTATATGGGTATATCAGTTTACTACCTTCAAGTTTCGTGGTTTTCAACATTTAGTACATGAAGTTTTTTTTCATCCCAGAGTCATATCTAAAGTGTTAATTTTGGGACAGTCTCATACATCTGTTAGTCTAGCTGTTAAGTCTTCCGTTAACTGATGATGTGGCCCCCATGTGGACAATGACTGGGCGCCATGTGTCAATAAGGGTCCCACGTGGATATTAAAAATAAAAATAATTAAAAATTAGACATTAAAAAAAAAGTGTCTTCTTCCTCAACCCCCGACCCTCCTTCCCTTCTTGGCTTCCACCCATATGTACAAATCCAAAATGTCAGTCGACATCGCCCATCCTGTCTTCACCCATCGCTGCACCCCACGCACCTAGCAATCCGCTCAATCCACCCATCCAACTTATGCGGCCTCCTCCTCCTTCAAACAGCTTTCCACCTTCACCCCTTCCTGGCGCTGCAAACTCCCCGAAAAAGACGTCGTCGTTTTCCAACGCAAGTTCCTCGTCAAGCTCTCCGTCGCCAAACTCAAAAACTGACTCCCCACCCTCTGCCGCAGCCACCACACCTCCATCATCAAGCTTCTCGGTGCGTGCATCTCCACCGACCATACATTCCTCGTCTACGAATTCGTCCACGGCACCACCCTGGACGTCTGCCTGCGGAACCCCAACAACTTGAATTTCACAGTCCCGTCCTCTCTCTCTCTCTCTCTAATTTCCGCGCCGGAGCTCCGCTCTCCCTACGCCACCCCTAGAGCCATCTCCGTACGCACCCTCTCTTTTCTCTCTATACAATTTGAATTTTTGGATTCGGATTGAGTGATTGATTGATTGATTGATTAGTTGTTTGATTGAGATTTGGTTGGTTGATTTGCAGGATTTTTGGAGGCGATTGTGAAGGGATTGGGGTTTCAAGTGGAGGATCTAAATGTGTCGGGATTCGATTTGAGGGACGCGCAAGTGGGGCATTCGGTGGCGTACAAGTTCGACGTGGAGGTGGGCAACAAGGTCCTGCCTTTAAAGCTTCTGGAGGACGTCAACCACTGGGACTACATTGACTTGCCCATTTTTAGGGTCGAGGACGAAAATGGGTTGGTCCAAAAGGGCAAATCAGCTGGTGGGAGGGTGGGGATTATGGGGAAGACGAAGGTTTTTTTTTAATTTTTTTTAATTTTTAACTTTTCTTTAAATAATTTTTTTTTAATTTTTAATTTTCACGTGGACCCTTAATGACATGTGGCGCTCATTCATTGTTCACATGGGTGCCATATCATAAGTTAACAGAAGACTTAACAGCCAGACTAACGAATGTATGAGACTGTCCCAAAATTAACACTTTAGGAATGACTCTGGGATGAAAAAAACTTCATGTACTAAATGTTGAAAACCACGAAATTTAAGGGTAGTAAATTGATATTTACCTTTATTATATATACCTTGCAAAACAAGCACTTCTAGGGCTTAAAAAAGGGCATCTTTTATGAGCCTCCATGTAGAATAGTTGTTTGAGTTATATAATATACTTCTTTAATTCACAGAATGGGAGGCAAGAATTAAGTTCCTCCCTCATGGGGTGGCCGGCGGTGGCGATGAAGTGTTCTTACAGTATTGGAGCTGAAATGCTCTAATATTATTTGTGTTTTGATGGCAGTCTAAAACGTCTCAAAAAGTTTCTCAATCTTTAATATGATTTTATAAATCTATTTATATCATATTTATTAATTACATTAATCCATCGATTTCTCATAAAAATGAGACCCATCACCACTTCATATGACAACTTTCACATGCAAATTGCAATATGTTTTGAGTCATGCAGAAAGAAATGCTAATGTGAACTACTAAATCCTGCATTTCCCTTCCATTCCCACCGCCACTGCATCTCCACACCAAATCCCACTCCAAATCCACACCACTTCCCTTCTCATCTTCCACACCTCTTCCTCATCCCCACCGCCGTCCACCCCTGCACTTCCCTTCCATTCCTTTCTCAACTTCACCGTTTCTCACCCTCACTGACACACCGCTTGACTTCCGTCTCCTCGTTCTTCCTAAGTCCGCCTCCTTTGTAGCCCATGTTCTTAAGCATCTTCATTCCAATGCCCTTGGTGTGTTTCTCAAAGGCCCCCAAACCCCCATCCCCGCCGCCCTTTGCTCCGAATCCTGCAAATTGGCCTTCTTCAGAACCTTTTGCAAATTGGCTTTCTCAACTTCACCCCAACTCACCGCCGCCGCCGATCACCATGAACCCTCGGCCCAAAACCCCCATTCCGGAGAAGCAAGTCATGTTCCGGAACGAGACACGAATCCTTAACCCGAAAAAAAAAAAAAAAAAGGTGTCTGACACCACGCTGGCATCAGCATGGTGTCAGATTGGCCGGTCCCAAGGTCTGTCAATTTTGGGATGGCCTGGAGACCAGCTTGGGCTAGGTGCCAGTCAATCCCGTGGACTGAAGTGAATTGGATGTGTGCCGGGCCAATTTTTTGGCTGTGTGCCAACCTATTCCACCTCCGGTGGAAGTGCTCTAAAGCAAAATACACCAAAAAATTCAACAACATTGAGGATTTGAAAGTTCCAACAGTAAATTTTTTAGTTATGTTTATATTTTAAGTTTATTTCGCTCATGAAAATAAACTTATCGCATCTTTTATATGAACTCGTTTATGCATGCAAGCATATCCAAATATGATATATATATATATATATATATATATATATATATGTGAACTAAAATGTAGTTAGCAATTTGATTAGAAAGATTGATATAATTAGCAACACTTTGCTAAGGTGAAGAATGTAATGGTGTTTGGGATAGAAAACTTTTATTAGAATGACAAAATAAATAAATAAATAAGACTTTTCGTACAACTTTGACATATAAATTGCTTTGAGGAAGCCGAAAGAAATGCTAATGTGCTATGCAAAATAGACAAATAATTTTTTTTTTTTTTTGAAGCAATCCCAATGCTTAAGAAGCTTAAGTGACATCTAACAGCCATAAAAATATTAGCCAAAGTTGCTGGTTCTAGGCTGTTTGATTGCATGAAGAAGCAATGAGTACAAGCATGGAGCCGAATTCCAGGGCTAGCTAGGGTTTCCTCACCACTCCCTTATATAATCTCTTCTTGTACCCTTTCTTTCCCATCAATTCTTCAGCACACAACACAAAATACAATCAACAGAAGGAGAAGAGAAGCATACATATTTGTTAGCCAGAAATGGCGCCTACGATTACAATGTCACATATT